GGAGACAATTTGTAGACATATATATTTATTTTTTTCTTTCGTGGATTTATGTGTAATGATATTTGAACTTGTTTGGAATTTTATATTTGGAAAGTGAATTATTGTGCTTCATTATTGTTTCTTTGACATGGTTGATATGGGTTTTGTGAATTTATATTTGGTTGTGGAATCGATCTCGATTAACAGGTGTGTTTTTGTAATTTAGTTTCTGTGAATTGCTGTTTTTGCACAGTAAAACGTATTTTCAAAATACGTTTTTGTACTGTGTAAAATTAGGTCAAAATCGATTTGGGGATAAAATTAGGGCGCAATCAATTTGGGGCAAAATTAGGTTGAAAAACGTATTTTCAAAATACGTTTTTTGTTTGTGTGAAATTAGGTCAAAATCGATTTGGGGATAAAATTAGGGCGCAATCAATTTGGGGATAAAATTAGGTTGAAAAACGTATTTTCAAAATACGTTTTAATTTTGCAAATATTATTTTCCAAAAAAATAAGTTTTTTAAAATCAAAAATATTAATTTTAAATATTTTAACCAAAAACGTATTCCCTGAATACGTTTTTAGCTATTTTAATTAATTTAATTACGTTAATCACCTTAATTAATTGTTTCTAATGAATACGTATTATTAGAATACGTTTTTTTTTGAAAACGTATTTTAGGAATACGTTTTTATTTAAAAAACGTATTCTGGGAATACGTGCTTTTGATATTTTTCCACTTGTTTTATTTTTTTTTTATTTATGTCCACTTAATTTTTTTTATTTTTATATAAATAAATAAATCCAGATCCGGCCGTTCTCCCCTTCTTCTCGCAGGGGTTGATTTTAGTGTGCCTCTTCACCGGCCATGGCTAGGCCGGCGATGGCGTCGCCCTCCAGCGATCTCTTTCTGCCTTGGTTTGGGGAGTTGGGCGGCAGCGGACTTCGGCTGCCATTTTCCGACCGGGGGGTTTCCGGCGAGTTTTTAATATTTTTAATATCATCGGTTTTTAATATTTTTTCTTGAACCGTCCGGTTTCATTTTTTTTTTTTTACCAAAATATTATATATGTATATATATTATACATTATAATTATATTCATATCAGTATTATATTTAATTAGTTTTGAACTTCTTGTTTGATATTTCATCCCAGGCTTTAAGCCCAATACACTCTTGGCCCAAAAAATTAAAAATACCCATGTATTATTGTATTGTTTTGCCCAGCCGCCTAACTGTCAACTGTGAGAAGGCAAAGACGATTATTATTTTATTGTGACATTGCTTATTGAGAGCATCTCCAATGCTCAAATATTATTGTGGTAAATTATATGCTACTTCAAAATATTTAATAATATCACAACTTCTCATCCTCCAATGCATAATGTAATCACAAATGTTGTGGTGATTTGGACAAAATTAATGTCCACAATGTAGAGAAGAATGTGGTTCATCCACATTCTCCTCCACGCTCTAGCTAGCCAATGAAGAAAAAGAGAGATAATTATTCTTACCATCTTCAAATTATTTAATTATTTGTTCTTACTTATTAAAATTTTAATATTTGGTAAGTAGATAATATTGTAGATAGACTATATTGTGCATCGGAGATGATTTTTTAATTTCATAGTTGTGAACTTAACATTTTTCCCACATGGTTCACACTCTATTTAATTGATTGACATTTGTCATAATTTGTTCAATAACAACATTAGAGCATTGGAGATGCTCTGAAGTCTGTACCCTTTGAATGCTTGATTGCAGCTTTTTTTTTTTTTAATG